ACCCGACAGCAAGGGTATGGTGCTGTGAACATGTTGATGACGTTGAACGTTTAAGAGTTGGTCTGTATTGTGCTTTATCACTCGACTCACAGTTGGTAATTCTAAGTTTTCAAGTGTCATCAACATTTTACCATGTCGATTCCCTACATGGGTACAATGCGTGAATCCAATTTATGGTGTCCCCCACCTTGATATTGCTGGAATATTGCTAAAAGCTGCGTAACGCCATAATCACTCAATCTGTCACAGATGAAATTTGTACATCCTAACCCCATATTAAACATTGATGAAGTAATCACATATGCATGAAAGTATCTGTTGTCATACATAACACTGTCTGTGTGATATATACAGCAGAATTCTTGTCGATTAGCGCAGTTGATAAAAGTACAATATAAACATTTACATGCGAGAAAGTATCTTTACACACAAAGTAAACTGTTCTAATAGTACCTGCAGTAACGTCCAGTAAAATAACAGACCCTGTGGGTATAAACACCTCATATGATAGTTTACAAACTAAATATGCAAACTAATAACAAACAGTAACTAACATGGAAAAGAATGGGAAACAATATACAGTGTTCCATTTGACTATGTCAACTCACGGGCATAGAAACATGACCTCGCCTTTTTAACATGTCACAATACAACGAACTCAGATTTTGGAAATTTAACAATCATATGTGGAAAAGTAATGGTTTTACAACATTCTGAATGATGAAAGTGTGAACTACAGATATGAATAGTCACTTAGTGTACGATAAAAGGTTAAAAAAATCATTTTGATGACGTTTCTTTCGCCCGTGAATTTAGTTAATACCCCTAACTTCCTTGGTTACATCTGTGCACATCCGGAAGGAGCATCCTTGCCCGCTAGGATGTGACTGCAATAAAATCAATACGTAAAACCGACAAACACATTGTGACGTTGTTGTGGAATCGACTTCACATAAGTTCATGAAAATGCGATGCAGATATTGTGTATTTTTTTATTTTTTTTATTCTTATCTTCCTTTTCTTTCTCTCTATCCAGGGTTCATTCAGTGGGCAAGGAAGGCAAGAGATGCGCGCCGTGTTTTCATCCGTTTTCATACTGTTACTTGGCTCTGTACTACAGCAAGGGCTGGTAAACAGCGCTCCATATCAAGGCTTTGATGATGACATGACGTCATTTGACCAGGGACTTAGGAGACTGTTCGGTAGTGACTCCTTCCCTGAAGACCCCAACACGCCTGATAAACAGGGTACAACTGGACATCTACTACAACTGATTCATCAACTGATTCAACGAGAATTATCGCGGAACAAGGAAAGGGGGCTTTATCGGTTCTCCGTAACCAGTATCGACAAACTCTTCGGGCAACATCTAACTTCCAGTCACCCCATTTTGTAGGTCGGTGAAGTTCTCCTTCAGGACGATGAATGGAATGCCATTATATAACAAGTATTGACTAGCAGTATACACAACAAGTGGCAAACGCATGGAACGAAAGCTACAGATCTTGTTTCCAAGTAATGTGTTTTTCAAAATATATGTTTTATGCCTTCGAAACATATACTATCAGATAAAATGTAAGCCTTTGTAAATAGTTATATCTTACACCAGGCTGTTATAAATTTGCTTTAACGCCAGTCTCTGAAATAATACATGATATATATTTTTATATACAAGCAAGGAAATGTACAAAAAACTTCGAAACTCTTCATGATTTTTTCCTCGTACTTTAACTGTAATAGTTCAGGTCAAAAGTGTACTTTATTACACTATACATTGGGGTAGAGCGAACTGTATTTCTTAATTCATGAACGCTCTTGTGAAAACAATGTTAAACATTGTGGTATGTTTGTTATATATAAGCGTGTTATCAATAAAGATGTCTTTAGTATTAACATTGAAATGTATCACATGTATATCACTGTCTATTCATGAGGAAGCTTTGGATTAAATTACTGAAGGGATCTGCATTATTGTGTTTTGGATGTTACGATGCAGTGTTTAATATCATTCCCATGTTCATTACATCCTTTAGTTTGTCTTTACTGCAGTCTAATGTATTGTATAATTTGATATTGTTTGGGGCAATGTGATTCGACATACCATGTATTGAGTGGATTGACTTAAGTGTAACAGTAGTTAATATATATCCAAGATGAAAACGATAGAATGCCGGGCAGGTGTGGTATCAAGCATCAGGGAAACATTAATGGCTAGATTCAACAGTACATCGTTTACATCATTTAACATCCAAGGAAGATCCGGGATAGAATTGGTCTTTAGCATGGACGTTGTAAGTGGCGACCAATAGGATCTTGTGGTCAAGTGTCACTGGCTTTGTTGACGCATGTTACAATGGTGCCCCAGGTGCCGATTTCTTGAAACAACTTAAGTCTGAGTTTTGATTCAAACTGAACAACAAAATACAAATTTCCCGAAATAAATCATAATCGGTATTAAACTGAAACCTAGTAAACAAATTGGGGATTGGGGTTGGGTTGGGTAGCCTAGTTGTTAAAGCGTTCGCACGTCACACTGAAGACCTGGTTTCGATGAACCACATGGGTACAATTACTCACATATATCCCATGATAAGCCGACTAAACAATGATGACAGAGATATAACATGATGTTTGTAGTTCCGCAAATAAATGATTATATGTGCAAACTGGACAAGAACAAAATACATTTCCTGAAATAAACTGAAATCGATATTAAGCTCAAACGTAGTAAACAAATTGGGGATAGAAGATTAGTTAGAAACACGTCTGTGTCATTCTCAAGTCAGTTTGAAATTTGAGCCTGGTCCCTTGCAGTCGGTTGTTGGCAGAAAACCGCCCACCTCATTACTCAAGGGATAGACTCTGACAACTACAAAACACGTTTTGACGAATCTGAATCAAAAGTCCAGACGCCCAAGTTTCAGTGTTGAATACCTCAATCCATAACTACCTCGGAATAGGGTGTAGTCACTGACGCCGGATGATATAGCAAACCTCAACCGTCTCTATTTCATGATGTTGATTTAATCCTAGTCTGTCAGTTGAGCCAGAATATTAAATTATTTTACGTCATTTTATTGACCGTCGGAATCTATTCAACAAGTGTACATATTACCTTGCCCAATGAACTAGAACCTGTGCAGATCAGGGTTAGAATTGGTCCTCAGTAACCCATGCTTGTCGTAAGAGGCGACTAACGGGATCGGGTGGTCGGGCTCGCTGACTTGGTTGACACTTACGTAGATCGATGCTTATGCTTTTGATTACTGGATTGTCTGGTCCAGACTCGATTACTTACAGACCGCCGCCATATAGCTGGAATATTGCTGAGTGTAGAGTTAAACAACAAGCCAAAAACTAAAGACATGCTTGGGCCAAGACAATAAAACCTCCCCTTCTTTGAAGTAAATTGATTACATTTCTTCAGCATATTACTCACATTAAGAACAGATGAATCTTTAAACACAACAGACGATATTCAAAATTAAATGTATCATTTTCACTTTCCCTAAAATCAGAGAATGTGTAATCGTGTCACTGGACGCTCTGGTGTGTTTACAGACATCATTCTGCAAGTTGAGTGAGTGGGCGGTAGGGGAAGCCTAGTGGTGAAAGCCTTCTTTCCTCATGCCGAGTTCCCGGGATCGAATACTCACATGCGTACAATGTGTGAAGTCCATTTCTAAAAAAAGAATGTCCCCCGCCGAGATGTTGCTGGAATATTGCTCAAACTGGCGTCACTCACTCTTCCGGTAAGTCAGGACATACTTACTACTTCTCGCGAACCCCAATGGCCGTATACATATGTCGGGCGTAACTTCTAGTCCCGGGGGTAAGTAAAATGTGCGCCCGGGCGTAACGTTAAGCCGGTATGCGTATCTGAGACGTAGCTAAAGTTACGCCAGGCGTAGCGCTCTATATTTACGCCAGCTACCCAGCAGGCGTAAGCCAGACGAAGCCCTGTAATGGCGGCAGTCGTATACCGACATCGCAGACGACAGTTCTACAGAAACCGTTTATTCAGAGAAAGGTCAGGCCCTTTAGAAATATACAACGATCTGGATCTGTACAGAAGATTTAGATTCAGGAGAATTGACATTTTCAAGATAGTGGATACAATCAGAGGTAATATCGATTATGGCTCCTACCGTAATTCCACCCTTACCCCGGAAACGCTGGTACTTGTAGCCTTACGGTGGTGTGCTACGGGATCATTTCAAAATGTAGCTGGGGATACTGTCAATGCTCATCAATTTGGAGCTGAGAAGATCCTTATTATCTCCGTACATCTCCAAAAAGACATTATTCCTCCATCGGTAAAGTTGGGTTTTCTCGGCTTTCTTTGGCTTTCCATGAGTACGGCTGAAATGGATGTGCGGCGAAGTTGCTTTGCACCTTTTCCCGGTGGCTTAATACGTTTGAAAATTTAAAAATAGCACACTGCGCCTCGACTTAAATCCGTTAAGTCGGGCGTAGTAACTCCCAGGCTTAGACGACGTTGTGCATGACGTGTAAGAGCAGGGCGCTGCTAAGCCCAACGTAGTCTGTTACGCCTGACGTTAACTACGCCCGACATGGTGAGGAGAGGGGAGGTGAATTTGGGTTTAACGTTGCGCTGGAGAATATTTCGCTCATATGACGACGTGCATGCGTGTGTATGTGTATGTGCGGCTGCTTGTACTAGCCCAGACTGAAGCTGGTTTTATAGTGCTAGCCCACTGAGATACCATGCCGCAGTGAAGCATGAATACCCCACTCAGACACAGTATACTGACTCCGAGCCGACCAGTCCTTGTTGTACCCATTAATGCCGAGCGCCAGGCAGGGACCAACAAGTACCATATTTTAACGTCTTTTGGTATGACGCGGTCGGGGATCGAACCCGCAACCTTCCGCACTCCGGGCGGACGCTCTAACCACTACACCACGGAGGCGGTCGTTGCCCTATTGGGAGTACCCCCACAAAAGTAAGACAAATCATTTTTTCTGTTTAACAGGCCAATCCCAACTGTTTCCTGGTTCCACGAGAATAGAAAGCTGAGCAACAGCGACAGTTTGACCATCTCAGATGGCTCAATTACAATTAAACAGGTGTCTAAGAAAGACATAGGTATATATAGCTGTTCCGGAAATAACAATGATGGAGAAGAGTCTGCAACTATGAATTTGAATGTCATAGGTAAATACACAATTTCAGTCTCCCTGTAAGTCAGTTTCTTTGTAACCTTAGATATCCATGTCACGTATACTTTAGGTTTGGTTTGGCTGTTGCTTAACGCGAGCCGGACCACCCGATCCCGTTAGTCGTCTAATACGACAAGCTAGGTTGCTGAAGACCAATTCTAACCCGGATCTTCCCGGGTCACACATACTTAAAAACTCTAAAAAGATCAATCATCTAATTGACTTGTAGTTCTATGTAGAGTATAGAAATAATCATCTTTGCACATTTCATTTAATCTCTTCTTAGTCATCATAAAATAAATCAGTAAAGTAAATTTCTATACATGTATATTCCGCAGATCCAAATAAAGTACCACCTTCGACCAGAGGTAGGTTTAAATTTGCAAAAATAATTAACCTTAATAAAAGAATTTCAAGATTTCTGAAACATGTGAATGTTAACGTATGCTTATGTCGTTAAAAATGGAAAAGCTTTTAACACGTTGCACTAGCAAAGACGTTTTACACTTAACAATCCCGTTTTGAGATCTCTGCTACTGTTCTCTCAGAGGGGAAAGCGCTCTACAGCACAAACATCATCGAAAGACGTATCACTTCATTTGTGTATTTTTGAAAATTAGAATATTAATATATGAACTTTGTTTCTGTATCCTCACAGGTCACCGGGAAACAAAGCTGACAACATAGCTGTAGGGAAGACAGACATAGGAACGGCGAAACCGAATCCAGGCAAGAATATGATTAAAACAATGTAATGTGATTATGCAGGTCGGCTTAGCGGTTAGTGTTAAAATTATGCGTGTTTAAAGCGAAGGACATTTACACATGACAAATAAAACAGTGCGGGAAAACGTCTCACGAAAATTATTTTCTGATTTCGTTATGTACGAGAATAGCATCTCTTCAGCATATCAGAGGAGCCAAAGCGTTGCAGCGACAGCGACGACCACACTTGTGGCAGATACCGTGCCACTACCAGCCGATCCCGCTAGGGGTGGGTGGAGATGGGGGGTGATGATGATATTTATGGAAAAGCTGACCCCCATAGATCCCCAGAACAAAATGGGTGACCCCCCTTAAAATCATCATCAGACCCCTAACCATAAATTATGAACGGTCCCTAATGCCATATGTGTATGATAAATATTGCATTTATTGCCTATTGCTTGAAGTTCCGATAGGCTATTACACGTCGCTCGAAGCATTAGTTTATTACTTTAGGTTCGACTCCCTCCTCATGTTTCAAAGTCACATGACGAGTTTCCTTGTGAAATAAATGATACATTGTATATACTGTACTATGTAAGGCTTTTCGCTTTTTAGATATTGAATGTTATTTTTCGTGTAACCTATTTTTATCATATATTTGTGCTTCTAAACCATTGCCAACTTTTGTATGTAGGAGAAGATTATGTCTACCATTGTCTACGTTTTTATAATGCAGCCTTATGATATTATAATACAAGTTATGGTTTCAATTAGGTAAGCACAGTGCATGACAAAAAAGGCGGGAAGTATTTCAACATGACTAACATTTAATTCATTAATCTATACAATACGTTTACAGTTGATCTTTGTTTTATATTTTGAAAATACACTTTAATTAAGAAAAACAAACTTCATTCGTGTCCATGATTGAACAAGTATTTAGACTATGTATTCGAACGCACACTTAATGCCACCTTTCGATTGTTTAAAATATATCTTACAATGTTGATCAATAAAATTTGCATGAAAAATATCAACGTCTGTCGATTTTTACATTACCTATTCTGACACATGTATATCATTAAAAGAGTCCCCCAATGTATATTAGATAAACGTCAAGCTATCCTCTTGCAAAGGATAATATTATATGCGACCAGTTGTAACTATTTTGAACAAATCAGCTTGCCTGGGGTATAGTGAAAAATACGTTGCGAACATCAACAATCATATGTCTTTTATCAACCTACCTCACGTATAACGGGTCATCTCAGACAGTCTTTTCAAAGTCGTATCATATGGTTATACTATATAATCAGAGATGTGTATTGTAAATCCCCGGGATGTGAATTGTAATCCCTGGGACGTGAATTGTAAACTGGGTTCCCAAACCTCTGCTGACTTTGCACTGATCATTTCTAAACCTAGGATACTATTCACGATTGATACAACTTTGTCTTGCTATCACATTATTGAAAACCTCCATTATATAGTGACAATGACTGGTTTCGAACCTGCAACCCTTGCTCTCTAACTAGGCGCTTTTATCCACTAGGCTACGAAGGATCGCTGTGAAGAATGAGATGAAACGGGTGTTTCTCACAAGACGGGTACTGCGGGCAGCTCACGTGCAGGGCACGGGGAGCACGTGCATTGCGCGTGCAAGGCAAGGTGTTGGCTGCCAGTCGCATCCCCGTTGACACCGGCTGTCCCATCAATGTTGTTTTGCTCTGGGCGTATTGATGTTGATCGTAAAATACTATTTTAAAATATATTTTAAGCAAAAAACGGTTGATAAGTCAGAAAAACCAACCCTACTCGGGTTTACTAGAACATCCCTCCTCTCAGGGTTCACAATCTCTAGTAAACCCTCGTAGTCGTGGTTTCTCCTATACTTAGCGACCGCCTCCTTGGTGTAGTGGTTAGAGCGTCCGCCCGGAGAGCGGAAGGTCGTGGGTTCGATCCCCGACCGCGTCATACCAAAAGACGTTAAAATATGGTACTCGGCATTAATGGGTACAACAAGGACTGGTCGGCTCGGAGTCAGTATAATGTGTCTGAGTGGGGTATTCATGCTTCACTGCGGCATGGTATCTCAGTGGGCTAGCACTATAAAACCAGCTTAAGTCTGAGCTAGTACAAACAGCCGCACATACACATACACACGCATGCACGTCGTCATATGAGCGAAATATTCTCAAGCACGACGTTAAACCCACTTTCACCTCACTTCCTATACGTAGCACACATAGAGAGATATTGACAATGTGATGTGAAAACCTGTAACCAAGGATATTATATGTCGGGTCCATTCTACAGTAGAAAACCGAAACCGGAGAAGAACGGGACTTTCATGAATCACGGATCACTGTTCGGGGCATCTTGAACATAGGGAACGAGTCATTTGGATTTAAATTCACGCTCGTTGCATGTAGTATGGAGTGATGTGTACATGGGTTTGACTTGTGACACAAAAAAGCGTGTGTGGGGGTTGTGTGTTGTGGGTTGTGTGGGTTGGGTGGGTGGGTGGGTGTGTGGTGACGCGCAGATTTAGTACCAAGAGTTAAAATGTATAGCCTTGTTGTAGAATACATTGTATAAATTTGAAAATATTAGCGACAAAACCCTATCCAATGGCCATACGAAATCTCTGACTAACATAACATCCGATTGTACCTCGAGTATGTGTTTCAAGGTCAATATCGAAGATTGATAACACTCTGTTTTCGTGAAAGGTGAGCATGTCCTCTCCAAGCGTTGGCATTCGGCATACACACATGCAAAGGCAAGTCAATTGTTCTATTGAACTTAGACGAGAACATGTGAAATCCTGTCTTATGAGTAGGAACACTTAGTTTCAAATAAAACACACACGATTGTTTGAAGACAAATTATTGTTTGACCACAAACACGACACTGGACACTGTGGTTGTTAAAGATTCAGTTTTGAATGCTTATGAAGCATTTCATGAAGCCTAATTCTACGAAGAATAGGTATTTTGTTAATCTTGCAGTATTTGTAACGAAGCTTGGTTTCACTGGTATCTGAGTAAGGAGGTGAATGGTTATTCGGGTGAGGCAGATTGTTTGCTGTAGGAACACTACATGACATCGCAGAGGAGTTATATGAGGAACGTGATAAGCGAGCGTGCAGGACATGGCAACATCCTGACGTTGTTGGCTGCAATGAAGTCGTGTACAATTCTGGCGGTACAGAGTTTGGCGTTGTCATGCAGATCGGGGACACCATGTGACATAATAGAACTAGTAGTTAAAATGGACGAAGAATGTCATTCATGCAAAGATGAGCTTTGAAAGTCCCGTTAATGATGACCCCAGGATTAAGTTCGTAGGCTCCAAGGGGCGGTGGGGTGGCCAAGTGGTTAAAACGTTCGCTCGTCACGCCGAAGACCCGGATTGGATTCCCCACCAGAGTACTATGTGTGAAGATCATTTCTAGTGTCCCCGTTATGATATTGCTGGAAAATTGCTAAAAGCGGCGTAACGCTAAACTCACTCCCTCGTAGCCTCCAATGTAGAGTTAGAATAGGGTTCAGTTCCTGGCAGTAGTAGCAACAGATGGTTTCGTCTGTGTCGTTGGATAATCGAGACTGGTGTTGACGTTTAATAATCAGATCAAGGTCTATACAGGACATGTTATTAAAGAACATCCACGTCAACTTTCCTTATGATACAGAACTATTTTAACTATGTTCCTGTGTCTGTAGATCCGGGGCGGTGGGGTAGCCTAATGGTTAAAGCGTTGGCTCGTCACGCCGAAGACCCGGGTTCGAATCCCCACATGGGCACAATGTGTGAAGCCCATTTCTGGTGTCCCCCGACGTGAGGTTGTTGGAATATTGCTAAAAGCGGCGTAAAAACCAAACTCAGTCTGTCAGTCAGTCTGTAGATCCACGATTTCACTGAATACTATCACTAAACATGTTTTCAAGAGAGATATTTATCAACCATCTAGATAGGACTAGCAGATGCCACCAGCGCAAGTGCGTGAGTGACTGCATCCGTTCCCTTCCCCCACCCCATATCCCTGGCTGCCACTGATTTTCTCCATCGAGGAGGCACGTGGATATTGTACTGACCCGATGAGGCGCCTGGAAAGAGCCCAATGCAACATCTGAACTTTTGGGAGTAGAGTGAACACGACTGGACTCTTGAGATGCCAGAATTAGTTTTACACGCCTTCACTTTCATTTTATCAGTCTCGTTATTTTTTGCGGTTACGTATAACGTTGCTGCACTTGCTACGTAGGTCAGTAGAGATTGCGGAAATTTTATACTGTTTCAATTCCTGTAGGAACTTTATATCCAAAAATATACATCAGCCGTCACTTAAACTAATATATGATTGTACATTAGCAACGTTGATACCCCGTATGAAATATAAGACATAGTTTCATATTCCTCATCAAACCTATGCTTTTGAACAGAGGCTTTTGAAGCAGGAACGACTTCTGCTTGACAATGGTACAAGAATCTGTATCGAAACGTCGCATTCACGAAAACAGAAGTTGTTATCCATGATGTTTGTTTAATAATGAACAAGATAATTGTCGGTAGGCATAATCGGTAGGATATTTAAAGTACATAAAACCATGGTTGCCATTTTTTAAAATATATAATTATGCATAGTGATACGTTTAGTGCAGAGAGAAATGGGAACACGAAGACTTCCTAATATTGAGATTGGGGCAACAGAAGAGGTAACAGGGACAAAAATTACATCTGTCGTTTTTGACATCTAGAGGGCTATTTCTATTGTGTAAAAGTTCTTTGCATTTTTTCTGTATGATAGACACCCAGGTACAGCATGGAAAATGTGTCAGTTTTGGCATGCAGAGAAATGGTTTTATTCCAGCAATGACCTGCACAATATTGGTGTCAGCGTTGATCCCAATCGGGGAACGAAGTTATGATGCGCTGGAATAGAGCATGACGTTGTGACATTAGGAAAGTGACACAGATGTCCTGAGTCATTCGTTTGTAATGTACTTGATTCAACTGTGATTGAATCTCCATTGTTTTGCAATGTACGAGTCATACTTGTGGAAACGTGTTAGCATACATCCATATTTGGATAGATGAAGGCGGCAAGTCTGATTGTTGAAGAAAATATTAACCTGATGTTATTTGGTGTTTAACAATTTTAGCAATATTTCAGCTATACGACGGCGGTCTGCAAATAATCGAATCTGGACCAGACAATCATGTGATCAACCACGTGTGCGTCAATCTACACAATTGGGTGAGTGAGTGAGTGAGTTTAGTTTTACGCCGCACTCAGCAATATTCCAGCTATATGGCGGCGGTCGATAAATAATCGAACCTGGACCAGACAATCCAGTGATCAACAGCATGAGCATCGATCTGAGCAATTGGGATGCGATGATATGTGTCAACCAAGTCAGCGAGCCTGACCACCCGATCCCGTTAGTCGCATCGTATGGGTTACTGAAGATCAATCTTCTAAACCGGACCTTCACGGGGCACACAATTGGGATACGATGACATGATTGTGTCAACCAATTTCGCATGGGTTACTGAAGATCAGTTCTAACCCGGATCTTCACGTGTCTTAACCTGATGTGATGTCAGTGTCGTAAGCTGCGCCGGTTTCATTTTCGATATTTTGACTTAGCAAAATGTTTATCCGTGCCAGCTTTCTTGTTTATATATTTAGACATTCACCTAACGCGGGCATTATACGTACGCGATTACAGCTGTGAACATTCATGTCACATTTTCCCTCCATTGAGGTAAGGTAAGGGTTGTGAACGACATGCGTAGCTTTAATGTTCTTGTTATTTCAAGTATAACTCTCATGGGTAGTATTGGGTTCTGGGCACATTGAGCTGATGTAAGATTTTAATTTATAAGTATTACAGTTATATGAAGAGATGCTGATAAATTATCTATGAGTCTGTACATGCCGTCGTACATGCCGTGGTGGTGTGTGGCCCTGTGCATAGAGTTCAGGTCGAATCATCCAAATTGCATAGCAAACAACGAAGCACACGTGATACATGTGGTCTCACCTCAGGTATGTGAGTTTGTCCAGAATTGCTTCTGTTCACTCAGCAGAAAATGGGTACCCTGTGGGATAGGTCTTGTGAATATTAACCTTACATTCAGCTTGGCTTATTCGGGGTAATAATAATCAGATTTTTGGGCGCTTCGAGCATGCATTGTGCATGGAGAAATGGGCATGATAAATAGACTGTTATTATTGAACTCATTCATTGCATTACCATGACGCTCTCGTACGTTTCTGTGTATTTAATGATTCAACATATACTAAGGGGCGGTGGGGTAGCCTAGTGGTTAAAGCGTTGGCTCGTCACGCCGAAGACCCGGGTTCGAATCCCCACATGGGTACAATGTGTGAAGCCCATTTCTGGTGTCCCCCGCCGTGATGTTGCTGGAATATTGCTAAAAGCGGCGTAAAACCAAACTCAGTCAGTCAGTCAACATATACTAAACAAGGAGCGCCAATGGTGAGACATGTGGGAGTCTAACGTACCTTTAAACTACTACATGTAGGGTGTTTACACAATGTCATTTAGAAAGTGGTCAACCGAAACATATGCTATATTTGGTATTACACTTTTTTAGTAAAGTACTAATTCTAGTACTTTTTGGGGTTGAGTCCCTGAGACTCTGAGGGTGTGGGTTCAACCCCCCAAAAGTACTAGAATTCGTAGTTTACTAAGAAGGTGTAATCCCAAATATAACATATGTTGTACCTGTAGGGTGGTTTGTGTTAATCGTTGCAGGAGGATGGTTGTCTTTACAACTACCCTGTACGTGCACCTGGTTAAGTTGAATGATTCGACAAAGATGCAACCGAGTCTTGGCTTGGAGCGTTCATTATTGTGTGCCGCATCTGGGTTTAACATGATGTGAATAAATTAGAATTAACGTATTCTTGGACGTCAACAATTTGTTTTCGTACCCTTCATTGCGTTTTGCAATATATTGATCTGATCAATGCCAGTGATCTCGTAATGTATTGATCACAATCCTGTTTCGAACATCTATTCTAAATAATAGCGTCAATAACGTATTCCAAAATGATTCGGAGATGAAAACACAATAATTTTACATCTTTAGATCGTTTGTACATTTACTTGTAGCATTCAAGAAAAACATGCTGAAAATCCGCTTGGCGTTATTGCTGTTAACAGCGGTATATGCCATTGTGGGTGAGTAGAACGCTTTGATTCGCATAACTGTTCTTGCAGCATGTATGTCATCATTTGTAGCTTTATACAAGGATATATAACATGCTTTATTCTTTGGAAAATGACAACTTTTGCATTCCCTAATAATAACGTTTTCGATGCTTTAGATATATTGTTGTGACGAAAGGCCTTGACATTTTAAGTGGGTACTTTGACGTTGCTTTTGGTATTTAGCTGGGTGTTTAGTTATCCCACATCATTATTTTGTTGGCCTGCTGACGGAAGTTACCTCTGTCCATATGAACTACGCGTCAGAGCCCGGCACAGAATCCCATAATGGGACAGAGAATCTCGATGGATACAACGAGATTTCTTGTTTGTTTGATGGATCAATAAAACAAACAAGGCATGCATTAATTTACTCAGGCGGAAATGTCATTAAATTTTATGAAGCTTTTTTATGGAATGAATGATATGATATGAAGTGAGTTTTGAAAATTGCAAAACTGACTTCTCGTTAAGGCTAACAGCTGCTTAAGTCAAACTCACTCATTTGCTAGTGTACGTATTATTAAAATAATTGTTTAAGTTCTAGTGCAGCATTCTTGTTAGTCATCTTGCTTCTTCGGTGACTTAGTTGATAAATGCCATCGTATCCTAATTGCGTAGATCGATGTTCATGATGTTAATCACTGGATTGTCTCGTCCAGACTTGATTATTAACAGACCGCCGCCATATAGCTAGGATATTCCTGAGCGCGGCGTTAAAATAACAAGCTAAACAAACAAGCAATCATATATGTATATATTTTATATATAAATAAAAGATGAGTTTCTAAATAAAAATGAGTCCAGATATTTCCTTGTCGAAAACGCCATTATCTGCACTCATCGTATCCTTTATAGTGTAGATACAGGAACTTTTGACAAGAAGAAATAACTGGACTAATCATTTATGTATTTAAGGCTTATGCACCTGCAGAAATCTCATATATATATATATATATATATATATCAATAGTCTCCATTATACAGACACACACACACACACACACACATACATACATATATGTATACACACACATATATTATGGAGACTATTAATATGTGTGTGTGTGTGTGTGTTTGTGTGCATATATTATGAATATACAGATACACATATACATGTAGATACCTACATACGCCCCTTTCATGTTTATTCCATTACTTTTCTCAGCTAACTCACAGTCATGGAATAACCGAGCTCCCCTGATCAGCAAGTATGCAACTGACGGACAGCCGGTTTCACTCACGTGCCGCAAACCACCCCCAGGGAATGTTGGGTGGTTTAGACTTAAAGGAGGAGATGTTTCCAAGATCAACGTCGACCCCAGGATACAAATATCCGCCAAAGGTAATCATTACCAAATTATCCCAACAGCCCAACAGTAAGAGGAACGCCCATAAGCATAATTAATTCTGGACAAGCTACATATTAAACAAACATTTCGTCTGAGTTTTGCCATAAATGTATTTTAGTTGCATTTAGAAAACATATTTATTACCATAAACACCTGGAAACTTCCAATACTCACCTCATTTAACCTAATCAATGTTCTAACACTAAACCCGTGAAGCTCCGGGTTAGAAGTGATCTTCAGTAACCCATCCATGCTTGTCGTAAGAGCAGACTAACGGGACCGGCTGGTCAGGCTCGCTGACTTGGTTGACACATGTCATCGGTTACCAATTGCGTAGATCGATGTTCATGCTGTTGATCACTGGATTGTCTGGTCCAGACTTGATTATTTACAGACGGCCGTCATATAACTGAGATATTGATGAGTGCGGCGTAAAACTAAACTCACTCACTCACTCTAACAGCATAATGTCATTGGATTTTCTGTATGTTACAGGAACACTTTACTTCTCATATGTTAACATCATGGACACTGCGGTATACAAGTGCGGCGTCACCATCTCGTCTACCATACAACTAGGTAGTCCGGTCCAACTGAACGTCACGACAGGTACATTAATCAATACCATTAATTGAGTTTCTCAGTATTTTCAAACCAAAGTTTCATCAAAACGTACACATATAATATAGTAATAAGTGAGTGTGGTTTACGCCTCTTTCAGCAAGTATTCAAGCAATATCGCGGCGAAGGGCACAAGAACTGGGCTTCCCACACCGTACCTATGTGGGTGTTTGAACCTGGGGATTTTGGTGTGACTTGCGAAAGTTCTAACTACTAGTATCCCAAGTGCCAAACGCGATATAGTAAGTGTCAACAGAAACTATTTCCTCTATTCTGGCGAAACATCCAGCTGTTGACACAAAAGTGTAATGTTGCCACACAAGTGAATGATTAATGACGCATGCGAAGCGGGAAATTGCACGAGCTACTGTTCTTGATGGTATTTGTTTCAGGTAACGTCGCAGACACGTGGCCAGTACTCATGTATTCGAGCGAGACAACGGACGCTACACAAGGACAGGCTGTAACACAACAGTGTATCTTCAGCGGCAGGTGCTCATAACGAAATGCTCTTTCTCTGAAATGGTCATTTGTTTCATTAACCGAAAGTACAAACATTACAAAAAAAGGTACATTCATGTCGAATTCTTTGGACCCAAGGAAATATTTCGAGTTATCCGTGGTTCGAAACAACCTAAAAAATAATGTCTATATAAGGAAGAAGCTTTTACTTCGAGACAAAAATCTATTCGATACAACATCGCATACAGTATCTTGTCACCAGCTCATTTATTAATACAGTAACTGTTTTTCTTGCGACAAATTCGATAAGATTATGGTTTCAGTCAAGGTTCACAATGTAATATGTATTTAGATTTGAATGCTACTGTTTTTACAGACCCGTTCCAGTAGTTACCTGGTACCGTGACGACAAGCAAGTGACTAACACTACTCGTGCTGAACTATCTTATACCACCGTTACTATCAAGAACGTGTCTGATGGGGACGCAGGAGTATATAGATGTACTGGAAAGAACGGCGTCTCGTCTGACTCCCATGACGTTTCTTTGATTGTGACGGGTAAGTAACTATCATTTCCCAATATCGATACAATAGATCAGTCGATGAGTGCAGTTTTATTCAAGTTATTTTTTAATTATTTGTGATATGATAAAAACACTGATGATACAAATGACCAAATATCATACTTTATTGTTTTCATTTTACAACACATATCAAGCTGGAGTACTACTTCCCGCTGATATATCATATCATATTATATCTCCTATCCGTTTGTCGAATTATCACTTCCAAAAATCCAACTGCAATAACAAGCTCAGTCAAAGGTTGGTCCACATGAGTGATAGCTTCTTGTTCCTTGTAAGGATAAAGGTTGGTCCAGATGAATGATAGGTCCTTGTTCCTTGTAAGGATAAAGATTGGTCCACATGAGTGATAGCTTCTTGTTCCTTGTAAGGATAAAGGTTGGTCCAGATGAATGATAGGTCCTTGTTCCTTGTAAGGATAAAGATTGGTCCACATGAGTGATAGCTTCTTGTTCCTTATAACGATAAAGGTTGGTCCACATGAGTTATAGCTTCTTGTTCCTTGTAAGGATAAGGGTTTGCCCACATGAGTGATAGCTTCTTGTTCCTTGTAAGGATAAAGGTTGGTCCACATGAGTGATAGCTTCTTGTTCCTTGTAAGGATAAAGATTGGTCCACATGAGTTATAGCTTCTTGTTCCTTGTAAGGATAAAGATTGGTCCACATGAGTGATAGATCCTTGTAAGGATGAAGGTTGGTCCACATGAGTGATAGCTTCTTGCTCCTTGTAAGGATAAAGAATGGTCCACATGAGTTATAGCTTCTTGTTCCTTGTACTGATGAAGGTTAGTCCACATGAGTAATAGCTTCTTGTTCCTTGTAAGGATAAAGGTTGGTCCACATGAGTGATAGCTTCTTTTTCTTTGTAATGATGAAGGTTGGTCCACATGAGTGATAGCTTCTTGTTCCTTGTAAGGATAAAGGTTGGTCCACATGAGTGATAGCTTCTTGTTCCTTGTAAGGATAAAGGTTGGTCCACATGAATGATAGATCCTTGTTCCTTGTAAGGATAAAGGTTGGTCCACATGAGTGATAGCTTCTTGTTCCTTGTAATGATAAAGGTTGGTCCACATGAATGATAGATCCTTGTTCCTTGTCAGGATAAAGGTTGGTCCACATGAGTGATGGCTTCTTGTTCCTTGTAAGGATAAAGGTTGGTCCACATGAATGATAGCTTCTTGTTCCATGTAAGGATAAAGGTTGGTCCACATGGGTGATAGCTTCTTGTTCCTTGTAAGGGTAAAGGTTGGTCCACATGAGTGATAGGTTCTTGTTCATTGTAAGGATAAAGGTTGGTCCACATGAGTGATGGCTTCTTGTTCCTAGTAAGGATAAAGGTTGGTCCACATGAGTGATAGCTTATTGTTCCTTGTAAGGATAAAGGTTGGTCCACATGAATGATAGCTCCTTGTTCCTTGTAAGGATAAAGGTTGGTCCACATGAATGATAGCTTCTTGTTCCTTGTCAGGATAAAGGTTGGTCCACATGAGTGATAGCTTCTTGTTCCTTGTAATGATGAAGGTTGGTCCACATGAGTGATAGCTTCTTGTTCCTTGTAAGGATAAAGGTTTGTCCACATGAGTGATAGCTTCTTGTTCCTTGTAATGATGAAGGTTGGTCCACATGAGTGATAGCTTCTTGTTCCTTGTAAGGATAAAGGTTGGTCCACATGAGTTGATAGAGTACGTATTAGTAAAATAATTGTGTAGGTTCTGGTGCAGCATTCTCGTCAGTCATTTTGCTTCTTCGGTGACTTAGTTGATGAATGCCATCGTATCCCAATTGCGTAGATCGATGTTCATGATGTTGATCACTGGATTGTCTCGTCCAGACTCGATGATTAACAGACCGCCGCCATATAGCTAGGATATTCCTGAGTGCGGCGTTAAACTAACAAGCTAAACAAACAAGCAATCATATATGTATATATTTTATATATAAATAAAAGATGAGTTTATAAATAATAATGAGTCCAGATATTTCCTTGTCGAAATATTTTAGTGCAGATACAGGAGCTTTTGACAAGAAGAAATAACTGTACTAATCATTTATGTATGTAAGGCTTATGCACCTGCAGAAATCTCATATATATATATCAATAGTCTCCATTATACAGACACACACACACACACATACATATATGTATACACACACATATATATCATGGAGACTATTAATATGTGTGTGTGTGTGTGTGTGTTTGTGTGCATATATTATGAATATACAGATACACACATACATGTAGATACCTACATACGCCCCTTTCATGTTTATTCCATTACTTCTTTCAGCTGACTCACAGTCATGGAATGACCGAGCTCCCCTGATCAGCAAGTATGCAACTGACGGACAGCCGGTTTCACTCACGTGCCGCAAACCACCCCCAGGGAATGTTGGGTGATTTAGACTTAAAGGAGGAGATGTTTCCAAGATCAACGTCGACCCCAGGATACAAATATCCGCCAAAGGTAATCATTACCAAATTATCACAACAGCCCAACAGTAAGAGGAACGCCCATAAGCATAATTAATTCTGGACAAGCTACATATTAAACAAACATTTCGTCTGAGTTTTGCCATAAATGTATTTTAGTTGCATTTAGAAAACATATTTATTACCATAAACACCTGGAAACTTCCAATACTCACCTCATTTAACCTGATCAATGTTCTAACACTAAACCCGTGAAGCTCCGGGTTAGAATTGATCTTCATTAACCAATCCATGCTTTTCGTAAGAGCAGACTAACGGGACCGGCTGGTCAGGCTCGCTGACTTGGTTGACACATGTCATCGGTTCCCAATTGCGTAGATCGATGGTCATGCTGTTGATCACTGGATTGTCTGGTCCAGACTCGATTATTTACAGACGGCCGTCATATAACTGGGATATTGCTGAGTGTGGCGTAAAACTAAACTCACTCACTCACTCTAACAGCATAATGTAATTGGATTTTCTGTATGTTACAGGAACACTTTACTTCTCATATGTTAACATCATGGACACTGCGGTATACAAGTGCGGCGTAACCACCTCGTCTACCATACATTTCGGTAGTCCGGTCCAACTGAACGTCACGAAAGGTACATTAATCAATACCATTGAGTTTCTCAGTATTTTCAAACCAAAGTTTCATCAAAACGTACACATATAATATAGTAATAAGTGAGTGTGGTTTACGCCTCTTTCAGTAAGTATTCACGCAATATCGCGGCGAGGGGCACAAGAACTGGGCTTCCCACATCGTACCTATGTGGGTGTTTGAACCTGGGGATTTTGGTGTGACGTGAGAAAGTTCTAACTACTAGTATCCCAACCGCCAAACGCGATATAGTAAGTGTCAACAGAAACTATTTCCTCTATTCTGGCGAAACATCCAGCTGTTGACACAAAAGTGTAATGTTGCCACACAAGTGAATGATTAATGACGCATGCGAAGCGGGAAATTGCACGAGCTACTGTTCTTGATGGTATTTGTTTCAGGTAACGTCGCAGACACGTGGCCAGTACTCATGTATTCGAGCGAGACAACGGACGCTACACAGGGACAGGCTGTAACACAACAGTGTATCTTCAGCGGCAGGTGCTCATAACGAAATGCTTTTTCTCTGAAGGCCCGTGAAGATCCGGGTTAGAATTGATCTTCAGCAACCCATGCTTGCCACAAAAGGCGACTATGTTTGTCTTAAGAGGCGACTAACAGGATCGGGTGGTCAGGCTCGCTGACTTGGTTGACCCATGTCATCGGTTCCCAATTGCGCAGATCGATGCTCATGCTGTTGATCACTGGATTGTCTGGTCCAGACTCGATTATGTACAGACCACCGCTATATAGCTGGAATATTGCTGAGTGCGGCGTAAAACTAAACTCACTCACTCACTCACTCTTTCTCTGAAATGGTCATTTGTTCCATTAACCGAAAGTACAAACACTACAAAAAAGGTACATTCATGTCGAATTCTTTGGACCCAAGGAAATATTTCGAGTTATCCGTGGTTCGAAACAACTTAAAAAATAATGACGATATAAGGAATAAGCTTTTACTACGAGACAAAAATCTATTCGACACAACATCGCATACAGTATCTTGTCACTAGCTCATTTATTAATACAGGAACTGTTTTTCTTGCGACAAATTCGATAAGATTATGGTTTCAGTCAAGGTTCACAATGTAATATGTATTTAGATTTGAATTGCCACCGTTTTTACAGACCCGTTCCAGTAGTTACCTGGTACCGTGACGACAAGCAAGTGACTAACACTACTCGTGTACAGCTATCTTATACCACCGTTACTATCAAGAACGTGTCTGATGGGGACGCAGGAATATATCGATGTACTGGAAAGAACAGCGTCTCGTCTGACTCCCGTGACGTCACTTTGATTGCGACGGGTAAGTAACTATCACTTCCCAATTGCGGTATAATAGATCAGTCGATGTGTGCAGTTTTAATTACTATTATACGAGCATGTTGTCTCTCCGAAATCATGAATACTGCGTAGAGCGTTACTTACACCGTGAAGATGTGGCTTACCACTGACCTGGTCGCAAGATGCGAATAACTCATTGTCGCCATTCCATTTGCGTACATCGATGAGTATGATGTGAATGGTCCAGACTGGTTGTCTCCCAAAACTTAGACACCCATGCCATATCTTAGACACCCATTTCTTAGACACTAATGAGGGGAAGATTTATTAAGACAACACCCACGGCTGAAATGGAACAGTCCTAATTAGTGCTCCCTGCTTAGTGGACCTAGCTTGTATTGATCAACAAATAATATCAACTCAACAAGGGGGATTAAGTTTGAAGATACATCATTTGTTTTCCTTTGAAAATCTCCTCACAAGGTGTCAACTGTTTTGATACTCTAGGTGGAGTACCTTTGAAATAACTATGATAATTAAAACAGTAAAGTATGTATAAACTGTTGTATTTAACTGTTTTTAATCCCATCAACTACTAAAATCATTGAGTACTTTCTTCTGTTTAATGTTAGATGTAAAAAGCACAGCCCTAGATTAGGTAATTATTGCAATATGGTTGGACTGAGAAAGGTAGAAATCGTGACATGACAGAAGGGTACACCGTTACATCACAGAAGAGTACACCTCAAGTTTTTCTTGACGGGTATCCGTACAACAGGATCAAAGTAAGGCAGACCTGAACGGTTACTTACAGACCATGGCCTAGATTTTCGAAGCTCTCTTAGCGCTAAGATAGTCGTAAGTTAATGTTGACGTATGGCAATTACGACTATCTTAGCGTTAAAGAGCTTCGAAAATCTAGGTCCATCATTTCGCTGTAATATGGCTGCATTAAACAACAAGAAACAATAATGTAATTAAGACCTCGTAGAAATATTGCTATGAATTAAATAAGGGACAAGTAAACATGGCTTTCTGTGTGTGTTGGTGTGTATATAGTAAGCTCATCCCCACATACAAAGACTATCACCACATCACATCGCATCTTACATAGTTTTTCAACATATCATTTTTTATACATGCTTTAATTAGACTCCGAAGAGATAACAAGCACGGTCGCGGGTTGTTCAATATTATAGCGCGAATGAAAGCGCATTGCTAAATGTTAAGTCTCCAACCCTGTCATAGTAAGAAATTGGTAGATATAATATGTTGTCGGAATACGCTGTAATATGTGATGTGTTGCACTTGAAATTTTGGAATAAATTTAATGATATTTTTATACATGGTATCAATGTTCCTTTATGCACAAATAATAATCTCAGTCATGTTTAGGGCACGTGTCTGTGGACGACGAATCACTAACAGTCAGATGTTTGGTGGAAGATAAACGATGACGATGTGTTCTGACATCTGTCATCCTTTATTTCAGAATGTCAATATGCATAAAACTGACTAATCAAATCCTTGGTTTGATGAATATTTCAGATAACTTTTTTGCTCTCTGTGTACCTACAGATGAAACCAGATCTACCGTGACAGGTGCAGACCTGACTCAGAGTGAGTGAATATCAGAATGTCCTCCAATATACCTAAGACTATCCTTCACTTCAGAATGTCTGCTAATATACCTAACACTATCTTATCAAATCCTTGGTTTGATGAATATTTCAGATAATTTTTTTGCTCTCTGTGTACCTACAGATGAAACCAGATCTACCGTGACAGGTGCAGACCTGACTCAGAGTGAGTGAATATCAGAATGTCCTCCAATATACCTAAGACTATCCTTCACTTCAGAATGTCTGCTAATATACCTAACACTATCTTATCAAATCCTTGGTTTGATGAATATTTCAGATAACCTTTTTGCTCTCTGTGTACCTACAGATGAAACCGGATCTACCGTGACAGGTGACAAGTGAGTGAATATCAGAATGTCCTCCAATATACCTAAGGCTATCCTTCCCTTTCAGAATGTCTGCTAATTTACCTAACACTATCTTATCAAATCCTTGGTTTGATGAATATTTCGGATAATTTTTTTGCTCTCTGTGTACCTACAGATGAAACCAGATCTACCGTGACAGGTGCAGACCTGACTCAGAGTGAGTGAATATCAGAATATCTTCCAATATACCTAAGACTATCCTTCACTTCAGAATGTCTGCTAATATACCTAACACTATCTTATCAAATCCTTGGTTTGATGAATATTTCAGATAACTTTTTTGCTCTCTGTGTACCTACAGATGAAACCAGATCTACCGTGACAGGTGCAACTGCACTGCACAGTGATGAGATGACAACAGACCTGAAACAGGGTGAGTGAATATCAGAGTGGACTCGAATTCCGGTTCGCCCCGATTAGAGTTCTACTATTTTTAACGCCTTACACGTTTTCTTGGGTTTCACCATAGTAATAGAGACCTTCAGCACTTCGGGCTTGGCTCCAACATTAAGCTGACGCACACATGTGTGTGTGTGCGTGTGAGATCACGTCATTGTGAATGTAACCTTAATCCACTCCGTCAGATTTGTTTTAATTTCAAAGGATTGAATATGTGAATTAAATTGGTATGTCCTTAGTTAACTTCAATAACCAGTAGTTTGAATCCAACGTTTACAGTGCAGCACTATGTAGACTGACTGACTGACTGACTGAGTTTAGTTTTACGCCGCTTTTAGCAATATTCCAGCAATATCACGGCGGGGGACACCAGAAATGGGCTTAACACATTGTGCCCATGTGGGAATCGAACCCGGGTCTTCGACGTGACGAGCCAACGTTTTAACCACTAGGCTACCCCACCGCCCGCACTATGTAGAACCGTGTAGACAGTGAAGCGCTGCACATTCAGGTAATACCGTTATAAATAACGTACAGTGCCGTTGCTACATAGACGATACAGAGTAATCAATTTGGTAGTTCCACGCAATAGCCCTGTGAAGTTTTACACCAACAGGACTCGGACTAAGAAGGTTCTCTGTGCGGCGACTATACAGTGTTTATACTGTTCGATGTTTCAGAGGCACACGCAGTCTGGAGTGTTGAGTCATTATAAAAATGTATGTTTTTCTTTTACAACGATGAAGGTACTGATGCTGATGATGTAGATGTGCCAGCGATATATACAGTGATCGCCATCACCAGTGGTTCCTGCCTTGCTTTCCTTGCGGTAGTATCTTCTGTAGCAGCTTGCGTCAATCGTTGCTGTCTCCAAAATGGTAAATATGTTGAAGAATATTTAGCCCATCCTACAATGCGGATAAACGGCAACATATCATTGTACGTTATCATTTTTTGTAATACGGTTGATTCTTAATTATACAGGCCCACTGACTACATGATGCGAAAAGATAGAGCAAAGGTGACAAGCTTTGCCTGAAAGGTTTAAAAGAATTCTTCACGACACAGTAACTGACAGTGTTCTTTCTGGCGATTTTTCAGGATATTACGAGTTAAAGACAATTTAAGTGTGTGTTGGGTGGTGTAATTACATTGTCATATATAACATATATTAAATATAAGTTACCTAAGTATAAGATAACTTTACTAACATAAGTACCCTTCTTGTCAAGGGGCTATCATCCAAGCAATACAGCCTATTTATGACACACTTATCACTTTAGTAAAAGATGGTAAAATATTACAATTCAATTATAAAACAGCCCACCTGGCAAGAAATAAGACAAATGAAAGTTGTCTCCCCTCCTTGACGTATGTCTACATTTAGGCAAATTTCAAAGTGTGCTACTTGTACTTTCAGGAAAAGGAGAAGATGGGTGAGTTATGTTTTGTTGAAGATAGCAAAAATATTTTGAGACGGCAAGTGAGATTTTGACCCACATGGAACTGTATCCGATCGTGAACAGTACAAATGTGTAAACATTGGATGGACGCTATTGCTTCAACACACTTAACGCATCCAAAAAACCTCCATCCAGTCTGCTCAAGATTTATGTAGACAAATTAGTTCGTTTTGTTTCTTTGTTAATTGTTAAACGCCACACTCAGCAATATTCCAGCTATAAGACGGTGGTCTGTAAATAATCCAGTCTGGACCAGACAATCCAGTAATTGACATCATGAGCATCGTTCTACACAAGTGGGATACGATGACATGTGTCAACCAAGTCAGAGAACCTGACCACCCGATCCCGTTAGTCGGGTTACTGAAGATCATTTGTAATCCGGATCTTTACGGGTTCTAGACAAATTGGTTATGGCCTTGAATCTCGAACCAGTGCATGCATATGTACAGTTGGGAAACTTGCCTAATTGCAAATCGCTTGTTTCAGTTTCAGAGGTGAGGTGACAGAATGTGATGACCAAGCTTCAGATTATTCAACGATCAACGAGGACGAAATTACTAATGCATATGAGCGACCACTCAGAAAGCATACACCAATGTACCTGCAACCAGTACTAACAGAGGATGATCAGATGACTGAGTGAACAGCGTTTTATGCCGCCTTTCACGATTGTTGGGGGAAGAATCGAGTATGCACTTCCCGTGAAAGTTTCAAAGAATGACATACGACTCTTAGCTCAAAAGCTGTTCCATTCTGATGACAACATTCAAGGCGATTTCAAATGTTGTGTAGTGGACATGTTGTGGACATTTCCACATTTGAAGGGTCAGTGACAAAAATTACGTCCGGTGCAATTCCCCATTTAGACTTGGGTAACTTGTGTCCCTTCGGGTGAGTGTGGGTAGCCTAGTGGTTAGAGCCTTCGCTCGTAACGCCGAAGACCCGGGTTCAATTCTCCACATTGGTACAATGTGTGCAGCCCAGCGTCTCCCGTCACGACATACCTGGAATATTGCTGAAAAGCGTCGTACTTACTTTCGGGTGAGTAGTTGACTTGTCCTTGCATGTGTTCATGATGGTGATACCAGTATGACATGCTAC